ATTTTAAGGAAGGGTCTATAGGGTGCTCAGGGTCTCACTACTAGATCAGACTCATAGTGATTCTCCTGTTTACAGCCTCCCAAGTGCTGGGATTACAGGCCAGTCTTAATTGTAGTGAGACAGGGTTTTGCTATGCAGTTCAGACTGGACTTACACTCACTTTGTAGTCCAGTTTGGTTTCCAATTCACAGTAATTCTCCTGCCACAGCCTTCCAAGTGCTGGTATTACAATATGCATAGTTGCACAGGTTGGATTTGAATCTGGCAAGTGCGCTGCCTCAGCCTCCTACAGTACTGAGATCACAGGCATGTGCCACCATGCCTAATTGATCGCCTTTTTAAAAATATTTTTTAGTTTCCACATGGAGTTTTATATAGCTGTAAAGGTTGTTTCTTTTTATTTTTATGTATTTAGTACAGGGTCTACAGGGTACAGGGTCTACAGGGCCTCACTACACAGATTGGACTGGTAGTGATCCTCCTGTGTTCAGCCTCCCAAGCACTCGTATTACAGGTGCGCATCTCCATGCCCAGTCTCGAGCACCAGGTCAGTGCACCCCAGGGGTGGGGCCAGCATGCCACGCTGGGGATCGGAACCGCGGCTGATGCACTCTGCATAAGCAGGCATTTTAGTCCACTGAGCTATTTGGCCAGCCCTCACCATGCTTAATCTTTTTTTTTTTTTTTTTTTTTTTTTTTTTGGTGGTGCCAGGGATTGAACTCAGGACCTTTTTTTTTATTTCATTCTTTGTGATTGTTTTATTTCTTTTTTATATTTCAATAATTTTATTGAGAAAGAAGTAGCTATGATATAGGTTCAGAACAGGTTAGTAGTACAGTTACAATAATTAATACATTACATATTGTTGTCTTTGTAGTAGTTGTTCCTAGTACAAGATGCAGACATGATATCTTGGCTAAACACTATTAGTTCAAAACCTTCTCATTGAACTAAGAGAAAGTAGCTGTATATTTATGCTATTTTGTATATACAGATATATTTTTGCACTACAAAATGGTCCATTTATATCCCCTTTTTGTTTACTTTTGTCAGAGATGTATTCATATATTCCATTGCCATTCATATATTGTAGGTGCATGAATTCAGTAGAGTGATCCAATATAGTCCAGCGGTCCATAATAGTAATGGGTTATCCTTAGGACTGGCAGTGTCAGAAGTTGTTGACTTGAGCCTTTTACAGCTCAGCATATTAATATGGCTTTACTTTTTTTTAATTTGTGTGTGTGTGTGTGTGTGTGTGTGTGTGGCCAGCTCAGCCCACCAGGGGGCGGGGCAGGCTGGCATGTGGTGCTGGGGGGTTGAACTGTGGTCCCTGTGCTTTGCTAAGCTTGTTCTAAGTAGGTGCTTTAGACCACTGAGCCATCTCACCAGCCCCTGGCTTTACTTTTTATACCTTGATTATATACTTTTCTGCTGGATGGTTAAGACCAAGATAAAACAAGACCTATGTAACAAGAAATCAAACTTTTGTATCTGACAAAGTCAGTCAGATCCTCTCAGGACTTACCCTGAAACCCTATACCACAGTTTGTAGATCCTTTGTCAGGGTCAGCCATGTGAATGAATCACAGCTATTGCTTGACCAATTTGCTCTATGAGAAAGCCTGAGAAAATATTTTCTCTCCATGTAACTCTCCTTAGGCACCCTCTACATCATTGATCACTTTCCTCTGTAGCCCTATAATCTCCTTGATCAGAAAATGTGGAACATAACTGAGTTACGGGATGTTACAGTACTGCTTCTCCTATGTCCTGAGTCTTCTTTGACCTTGAAAGGCTAGGGCCAAAATGTTGGTCGTCCTTGCAGCCCTTCTTTTCCTCTAATTTTTGGTCTGCAAGCTTAAGTTGTTAACCCTGCAGAAGAGAAGCTTAATGATATTATTACCCTACAACATAGGCAGTTGAGCTTAACATCGCTATCTGTCTGAATATCAAATGCCTTAGATATAACATGGAACAGGTATTTTCCATCAAGCATTGATATGTTAAACTTCAAAAAAATATGGAATGCTTCACAAATTTGCGTGTCATCCTTGCACAGGGGCCATGCTAATCTTCTCTGTATCTGAACTCAGGACCTTGATGTTTGCCAGGCAAGCACTTATTCCACTGAGCTATCTCCCTGGCCCTCCATGTCTTATTTATTTATTTATTTATTTATTTATATTTTTAATTTTATTTATTTGTGTGTGTGTTTTTGTGTGTTTTTGTGGGATTGAACCATGGTCCCTGTGCTTTGCTAAACTTGTTCTAAGTAGGTGCTTTAGACCACTGAGCCATCTCACCAGCCCTCCATGCCTAATTTAAATAGGTAACTTTTTAAACTTTTGAACTAAGGAAAAAAAGTAATATATTTATATCTGATTACATACATTATTCAATATATAAAATACATTATTACTAATATTATATATTATACACATTTATATAAACTATAAATATATCCAAAATATATATATTCTGGATAGCTACCCAGATAGGGTCTGACATCTTAGCTTGTGAATCAGAATCCTATAAATGTATCATCTGCCTATAATGCCAGCACCTGGGAGGCTGAGGCAGGAGGCTTGCCTGAATTGGGACCAGCTGGAGCTACAAAGTCAGTTTAATGCTAGTCTCAACTATATAGCAAGACCCTGTCTTAAAAAAAAATAAGCCTATGAATGAGCTGGGTATGGTGGCATACTCCTGTAATCACAGCACAGCTGAGACAAGAGGATTGCAAGTTTGAGCCCAGTCTGGGCAACTTGGTAAGACCCTGTCTCAAAATGAAAAATGGGCTAGAGATACAGTAGTGGAGGTACTATATTTAGTCCTCTTATTTTTTTGTGTTTTTTTTAAGATAAGGTCTTGCTATGTAGTTCAGGCTAGTCTTGAACTCATTATGTATCCCAGGTCAGCCTCAAACTCATAGTGATCCTCCTGCCTAAAACTCCCAAGGGCTAGGTTCATAAGTGTACACTAGCATTCCTGGCTTAACCAGAATTCCTAACAAAATCAATTTGCCAAGGTAGCTGCATGTATTCCTTGACATACACAAGCAAGTGCTCTTTATTATTTATTCTGGAGGGAGGCACTGGGGATTGAACACAGGGCCTTCATACTGAAGTACATTCCCTGTCCCCTTTTAAAATTTTGAAACAAGGTTTTAGTAGGTTGCTATTTGCCCAGGCTGGGCTTTAACTCATAATCTTCTTTGCCTCACTCTCCCAGAGTTCTGGGATTACTGGCATGTGCCATCTTGCCAGGCACTTGTTTTTATAGGTTCGTGGTAGTAGGGATCAAATCCAGTAGACCAAATATGTGCCCTTATTCACCTTTCTTCTATTATATGCAGATTACCCACCACAGGGCATTCACACCCATAATCCCTCCCACTGGATAATGAATTAATCACAAACTCTAGAAGCCTGCCCCATGACTGCATGAGGCTTTGAGGGGCACACTTAGACACAAACCATAACAGTCCCTTCAACCTCTCTTCTTTTTCAGTTCTGCCATTCATGCTGCTGGCAATAATCCTCAAGTGTTCCTTCCACACATGATACCACACTAGTTCAGTTCAGCTAGGTGTTAGGAGTTGACCACAAGCTGTCAATTCACCATACCTGCTAGGGATTATTTCTTGAAAAGGCACACATGGCTTCAAACTGTGACCATCAAAAACAATTTTCTCTCAAGAAATTATAGTTTAAAGAAAGGAAAGAAATTGTGGTAACAGACATCATTATGTCATTTCCATTTTAGCCAGGTAAAATTTGAACTATGGAATTAACTTGGGCTAACTATCTCTCAAATGTGCACACTTCCAAATGAGATAAAGTTTATCACAATTATGCAGGAAAAAAAATCATGCCAGGGTAGGGATATTTGCCTAGCATTTGTGAAGCCCTTGGTTCAATTTTAAGCCCTGCGTATAAACAAATAAATAAATATTAATGTAACTCATTATTTTTATTGGCTACATTATGTACTTTAGTGTGGATATACCACAATTTTTGCAACCATTCTTTTATTGAAAAATATGCAGATTTCCAGATGCTTTTATTTCGCTTTGAAAAGGCCCATCAAAGGGTAAGTGTATGTATGGGTCAGCAAGATAGCTCAGTGGTCTAAAGTGCCTGCTTAGGCAAGCACAGGGACTAAGGTTCAATCCTTCATACCACATGCCATGCCAGACCCACCCCCAAGGCGGGCTGAACCAGCCACAAAAAAGGAAAAAATAAAGGGTAAGTGTATGTAGCTGAAATTATGGTTGCTTAATCAGCTGGCATTCTGCCCTTTCTTTCCTACTAGCAGAATGCTGCATTTGTTCAGGTATTAAAGTACCTTGGTCTCAAGAAAGCTAGTTCCATTCCCTGATCTATATGTGGCATGTGATCTAGTTATGGCAAGGAAGATACATGGGTAATTTTGTTGGTAGATGTGTCTAGAAAAAACTATAACCTTTCTATGCCAAACATAGTGGCACAGGCTTATAATCCCAGCACTCAGGAGGCTGAAACAGGCAGGAACATCAGCATGAGTTTTAGGCCAGCCTGGACTACACAGTGAGATCCTGTCTCAAAAAAAAGTGGTGGGGATTAGAGGAGCCAAAGCATGCTTGACAAAAGCAGAGGCTTTTCACTGGATAATACCATCCTGCCACTCCTTTTTTATTTTATTTACTTATTTTTTTGCGGAACTGGGGATTGAACTCAGACCCTTGTGCTTGCCAGGGAAACGCTTATTCCACTGAGCCATCTCCCTGGGCCCCTGCCACCCCCCCCCCGGGATTGAACTCAGGACCTTGTGCTTGCCAGGGAAGTGCTTATTCTACTGAGCCATCTCCCCAGCCCCCCTGCCACTCCTTTTTATGCCTTAGAATATAGTTGTGAGATCTAGATTCAGCAGCCCATCTTGTAAGTATAATGAACAATGCCTACAGACCAAAAATGAATATGTAAGTGAAGCATGGTGGCACATGCCTATAACTCCAGCAACTCAGGAAGCTGAGGCAGGATTGCAAGTTTAAGAGAAGACTGGGCAATTTAGTGAGACCCTGTCTCAAAATAAAAATTAAGGGTCTGGGCCGGTGGCCCATGCCTGTAATCCCAGCACTACAGAGGCTAAGGCAGGATTGTTGCTAGTTGGAGACCAGCCTGGGCTACAAAATGAGCTTAAGGCCACCCTGAATTTCACGGTGAGACCCTGTCTCAAAAAGAAAAAAAGTTAAGAGAGCTAGTAGTATAGCTCAGTGGTTCAATGGTAGAGCCCCTCTGGGTTCACTCTCTAGGGTATCCTCTAAAAAAATGTCAGTATGTAAAAGATGGTGGAATGCAAAAATAGAACAAGCTAGGACCTTTTGTTTCTTTCCTTTACTATATTTTTTCCCTTTTGTAATTTTAGAGATACAACCTAGGGATGTGCACATGCTAAGTACATACTTTATACCTACAAAACAAAACAAACAAAAACCTGAGTATGGTGGCACACAGCTAATCTCACTATTCAAGGGGAGGTGAGGCACAAAACTTTCAGCCTGGGCACTTTAAGAACTTAGTGATATCCTGTCTTAAAATAAAAGATAAAAAGGCCCTGGGTTCAATCCCCACTACTGCAAAAACAAAAACACCCTAGTCATTATTTAGTTTAACCAATAAATAAAATTGTATAAATCTATTATGTACATTTTGAAATATGTATTGTAGAATGGCTAAATCAAGTTATACTGATATTAACTCACATAGTTATCTTTCTTTTTTAATGTATTTAGTACAGGGTCTACAGGGTCTCACTACACAGATCGGACTTATAGTGATCCTACTGTTTTCAGCCTCCCAAGAGCTGGGGTTACAGGCATGTGCCACCACACCCACTCTCAATTCCAGTCTCAGTGTGCCCTGGGGGGTGGGGCCGGCATGGCACCCCTGGGATTGAACCCCATTCCTGGTCTGTCTAAGCAGGTGCTTTAATCTGCTGAGTTATCTGGCCAGCCCTATATAGTTATCTTTCTGTGGTGAGAATATTTAAAATCTATGCTCTTAGCAATCTTCAAGAATGCAATCCACATTCTCATAAAAATAAAATCAGGCCCAGCCTGGCATAGTGATGTGCATCTGAAATCCTAACACTGAAGAAGCTGAGGCAGGAGGATCGCTGTAAATTCAAGGCCAGCCTAGGATACATACTGAGTTCAAGGCCAGCATGAACTACTTAGAATAACCCTGTCTCAAAATACCAGGAAAAGCATGAAATTAAAATCAGGCTCAATATATATTTAAAAATAATGCAATCCATTGAGCTGGGTGTGTTGGTGCATCCCTATAATTTCAGAACTCTGGAAGGCTGAGGCAGAAGGATCAAAAGTTCAAGTTCAGCTTAGATAGGTTAGCACTTTAGCAAGACTCTGTCTCAAAATAAAATGGGCTAGAGTTGTATCTCACTGTGAAGGACCTGGGTTCAATACCCCGTATTGCAAAGAGTTGGTGCCTAAAATTAAATGGAATCATAGATGATAAAGAGAAAAAATGCTTAAAAGCATGAATTCTGAACTAAACTGAATTCAAATTCTAGCTGGGTTAAACCCGGGCAATTTATTTATTTAATGAATTTGGTCCCCGGTGTCACCACCCAGCTCAGACTCAGAGTGATCCTCCTTATTTCAGCCTCCCCAGTGCTGGGATTACAGGCATGCACCACCATACCTGGTCTTGGTGGCCAGCTCAGTGCACCCGAGGGCAGGGCTGGTGAGGCATGTGGTGTGCTTGCCTAAGCACTGAGCTATCTTGCTGGTCCCTTGGCAAATTATTTAATCTACTGTGTCTTGGTTTACTAATTTGAAAGTAATGTTACTAATGACACCACAGGATTCAATGGGCTTGCATAAAGTTCACAGTAATTGCTACTGAACTATTAGCTGTCATTTTTATTATACATTTTAGTTGCTAGATTATGACTCCTACATCTTATGTGAGAAAAACACTCTACCATTAAGCTACACCCCAGCCAAGACTGTTTTGAAAGACTTATAGAAACATATAGAGGGGTCAGTGGAAGAGAAGAACAGAGGAAGGAAAAGAAGGCCAACAAATGAAGCCTTATTAGTCAGCCCTGAGAC